AGACGCCAACTCAAAAAAAACAAAAACAAAAACAACTTTCTTCCTAAGAATAGGCGGGTCCGCAGGCTGCCAGCCCCGAGCTGGACGAGCCCCTGTGCATCACCTCCACTTCAGACACATCTGCGAGGCACGGCAGGCTGCGGGCGGGTGTCAGAAGGACTCACCACAGCACAGTTGTTGTAGCCTCAGAAACAGCTGCCAGAAAGGGCGGTGTCACCTTGCTGTGGAGCGGCCACTGTCTGCCCAGGCCGGCTACACAGACTCTTCTAGTTCTCAGGTGGCACCACCTCTGTGACCCCGCAAGTCCACCAGCACCAAGCCTGGGATGGGCTCCTCCCTCCTGGGCCCCTGTGGTGGCAAAGGGCGGGCCCTTCTGGGCCTTGGGGCACGGCTGTGAGCATCAGAAGTCTGTGGGAGGGAGGGCCTGGGGCTGGGGAGAGTGGGCAGGGTGGACAGGTGCAGGTGCCTGCAGCATTGTGGGGTGACTTCCTCACAAGGGCACCCCAAGGCCCAGCCAGGGGACGTGGGCCACCCACCCGGCCACTTCTGGGCCCTCCTGCCATCTGAGTCACCTCCTAGGTGGTCAGTCACCACGGTGACCTTAGGGCACTCTTGACTCATCTGTCACCCGCCCCGTGTCCAGGCTATGGTTAAAGATGACACTTCCTTCTTCTCAACTTCCTGTTGCCCACACCTAGCCACCTCCTTTCTGTGCAAGGACACTGAAGCCATCCAGCTGCCCCCCTCCTCCTCTCTATTTTTACATGTGGCCTCACAGGTCCACCCTTCCTGTGGGTCCCCAAGGAGCTTGACTTGCCACCTCCCCTGGGACTGCAGCCTGACGGGTGCTTCCCCAGCCCTGCTTCCTGGGGCTCCTGAATTCATGCACCAACGACGGTGGCTTGGGTCACCAAGATTCACTCTGAGCTTTTCCAAGCCTCTGTTTGGTCATCTGTAAGTTGGGTCTGTCTGTGTGTCACATGTTATCTAAAACTCAATGGAGGTCACATTCCAGAGAGGTCTGGCACAAATGGCATTCTTACTTTTGTTCTATTTTCTAGACTGTGCTCCACTCACTGAAAAGAGATCACTGTTCTCCAGTCTTCCCGGTCACCACATCTGGCCCTACAGATGGACACTGTCTTTGGAACAAGCTCCAAGTGCTTGCAAGGATGGGCTAGAGCAGATCAAGTTTAAGGTCCTTCTAAACCAGAGGTAGCAAGCTTGTTCTATAAAGGAACAGAGAGTAACTATTTTAGGCTTTCCAGACAAAATGCTAGTGAATGGGAATGGGTATGTTTCAATAAAACTTTAATTAAAAAAATATGGTGAACCGGATTTGGCCCAGGGCTGTAGTTTACTGACCCCTGTTTTAAACCCTTGCAAAACTGCTATCTCCACCACCAAAATACCTGGATGTGGCACTCAGGATGGGGGTAGGGGTACACCACCTGCAGGTACTGGGTGACAGATGCTAGAGGGCCTGTGTGGCTCCTATTGACACTGGGCTGAGCCAGGAATCACCAGGTCGGGAGGAACTCCAGCAGTAGGTGCCAGGCTTCAGGCAGGACAGGCCCTGACCCTGGGACCACCCCCATTGCCTGCTGTTCTGAGAAGCAAATACTGATGTGTGTGTGTGTGTGTGTGTGTGTGTGTGTGTGTGTGTGTGTGTGTGTGTCTTTTGGTACCCCAGGAGGGCCAGGGCCTGGGATCGCTGAACAAGTGAATGGTGAGTCTCCGAGAGGTGGAGGACTGTCTCTACCTAGGAGTGGCAAAGTCACAAAGGGTGTAAAGAGTGTGGCCTGTACTGCTCTGCAGGGCTGGAATGGGAAAACTGGTGGCCCTGCTGCCACCACCACCACCCGCCAGTCACACACACACATGCACACCCACATGCATACACACCCACGCACACAGGTGTGCTGGCACACTTAGAGCAACAGCAGCAGCGACAGCCAAGGCCAACGAGCAGGACAGAGGCATGGCAGTCAAGGCAGTGCCTGATGCCACTCTCCATGCCCTTAGCAGACGTCTTCCTTCCCAGAAAGCCCACTCTCACGTTGTCCACTGCGACCCCAGGACCGCACCTGCCTGTCCCTCCTCACGGCTGTCTGAGGCAAGGCCTGCGACAAATGCCTGGTTTGTACCCCTCTTGCCCCCCAGACTCTGGCTGCCCCAAATAATGAACAGTTTACACTGTCCTCAGTCCCCAGGGCTGCACGGGCCATTGTCCACAGGGTTCCGGCCCCTGGCACATCCCAGAGCAAGGGTGCCCCGGAGAAGGGCTGAGGAACACACGAGGGAGACTCAGGCTCCGGCAGGGATAGGCATTCATGTTCAACGGTGGCTGTCACACATCACGGGCTCAGATGGTGTGGGATGAGTCTCACCAGGAGAATGTGTGTGTGTGTGTGCATGTGAGTGTTTGTGGTGTGTCTGTGTGTGATGTGTAGGCACGT